TTAGTGTTTGCTTGACTGCACACAAAGATATAAAAGAGAAAGCTTCCTCTGTATGAATCCACTCCTCTATATTTCCATCACAGTTTAGTCATTTCAAGACATGCAAGAGTGCATGTTGGGTTCCACTTTTTCTCTGTGTACCATGAAAATCTGAGGTCCCTGAACTAACCCTACTTAACCCTCATCTACATCCAGGTTGCCATCTGGGTGGAATTCTTGTCCTGAACTGGATTTGAACTTGTGTTGTCAGACTTTCACGGTGTGAATCTTCACCTTCTGACGTCCAGTTTCTGTGTTTCCATTGCTGATTTCTGCGCCGCTGTGTCTCTCCCAGTTCCTCCAGCGAACTCATTAATGTTCATTTTTAAACTCCGTGTCTTGTCAGTCTGACCCTCTTCGGAGAGTCTGGCTAATGAACTAGACCTCACACAGACCACAAACACAGAGCCGGGCCGCCGTCAGTCCGCTACGATCCACTGATTCACAGAGCTGAGGGTCGCCTCTGCTCAACTCTCTGACCACACGTCCAAACACATCAGGCTGGATATAATCAGATACAAGAGAACAAGGAGTAATTCTGACCTTTACCATAAGTCTGCATTGAAACATGCATCCTAACCGACACATTCATCCTACCTTTCATAATAGATTATCTCGATTAGAGATTAATCTAACTTTGTTATATCTTTGTTTCTTTTCATTATATCACTTATTTCTGCAGGCAAATCTTCCCTAATGGCGACTGTACAGACAAGAGCCAGAGTAGACTAAATAAAAGGAACACCTGAACAACAAACCCTCCAAACTCCAAAATAAACAACAATACGTGTGGTTAGGTTAACTTAAACTACTTGGTTAAATGTTAAGAGAAAGACAGAGATCATGGTTAAAAGAAACCAACGTTGGTGTTGGTGGGAAACTGAAAAGAAAATCGGTCTCTGATGTGAAAGACAGACAGACAGTCATAATTCTCCAGAAGTTGCTTGTCAGGTAAACGTAAACACACACAACCAATGCTACCGGGACACTGAGACCTAAACACAGAGCATATTGTGGACTTGTACTGTATAAACGTCCACAAATATTTGTTCTGTCTGTCTGTCTGTACTGATCCAGGCCGATACATCATCGTAAATGACAGCAGCTCTAATCTAACAGCATTATTGTGTTTAAATTGTACTCTGCAGGAATGATGGAATTATACATGACTTTTCTTTATTCGATTACAGTTTTATATATCGGCCGCCCTGCTCTCTAAATATCGGCATCAGCCGTTGAAGAACTGATATCAGTCGACACCTGATTAATTTGGTATTTGTGGGTCATACAAAGAAATTATATAATTATAACAATGTCAGAAAAAAACTCCTGTATTTCAGTATATCTGGTTTGGAGTTGAGGGAAATAAAATTTAACATTAAGACCAAACAGAAAGTAGGCATATATCTAAATATATATACTGAAAGACTTGAATAAAAGAACCATTTGCAATATAATCCATCCAATAATAAAAACTAGAAAAGGAATGACTGAGCTCAGCACTACGGCGTTTATTTAACTTTCATTTTACAACCGAAGTTGTCTCTTATTTGAATTTGCAAACACAGCTTCACACACACACACACACACACACACACACGAGTACACAGTGGACAGATCAGGGGTGCTCACTGACAAATGGATTATGGGGTCATCGCTTGTAGTGCCGCAGAAATCCCGTTAACCCCCTGTGGTGGACAAACACATGCACGGACGGAGTCGCCACCTTCACCAGCTGCAGAGCTCGTTATTCTGTCAGAACATCAGTCAGTTTCATCGTTTATCTCCTTAAACCTTAAGAATCGTCAGGTTTTAAAGTGAATTTAAATTACAGCCTCCCCCCTGCTGTTCGGCACATGGGAACTCCACATATATTTAAAAATGCATTAAATATAATTTCATCAGGCATAAAAATCTCCCTCACACCAGAGTCCTGACCCAGCTTCACACGTTTTGCATTAAATGTTAATATTAATAAGATGTGATTATAATGCTGGAGTGTGTTTACAGCTGTTCAGCTGCAGACGAGTCTGGTTTCACAGCCATTTACTGTGAAAGTTCAGGCGCAAATATACACAAACTGGCAACGATTCAACTGTGATTAGAATATGTTTTATTCTAATATAATTGTACTGGTTGTGTAGCGATGCAGAAAGGCTGGGAAACACTGAGGGATTAAATGTAAATGCTGGTATTAAAAGAATGGACGGGCGTCTGGAGGAATGCAGGAAGAGAAATTAAGAACATTTGTATTATGAGAAGAAATATATCTAAACATTCAAATGTGGATCACCTGGATGCAATAAAACATGTATTAATTTTTTTACATTTCAGCAGATTTTCAAAATAACAGCAGAGAGAAATTAAGTTATGATGCAAATAGAAAATTTTAATGCCGGACTTAAATGACTTAATTTAAAATGTTTTTAATGACATTTAAAGCCATGAAAACTTTAGTATTTTTCACGGTTGATCCTGAATTTAAACAGATTCTGCTTCCATTTGGCAGCATTTAAATGTGTATTACTATATTAACTTAGGAAAACGAATTAATTAGCAAACAGCAGTTTTCAGCACTGTTTGTGGAATTAAAAATTTTAAAAATGAGATTAAAAACACTAAATTAACAACGGATCTGTTTCCCTGAAATGACCTGACAGAAATCATCTGGAATCATCACAGCTGCTTTTTTCCCCACTTTAAGCAGATAATCCTCTTTGTGTTTTCAGCCACTTTAACCTTCTCTGCTGCTTCAGACGTTGAAGCCCGGACGGATTTATACTCGACTAATTACCCCGTTATGAACATTTAGCAGAGGAGCGCCAGTGACAACTCAATAAAATGCAACACACTGTTTATATATCACTCATAACATGTTTGAGAAGATTTATTTATTTTGTTTGAGAGTGTACAGATGCCTGGTGGCTCTGTGCATGAAAAATAAGCCAGCGAATAACTAAGGTAAATTAAGATTTTAAAATTTTAACAAAATTTAAATTTTATTGTGCCATATTGTGGTGCACTTTTTTTTTTGTATTTTATCAAAAAAGTCCATAAATTTTGTCAAGTGTACACGTGAAGCTTTGGAGCACAAATTAAAAAGATAATAATAATAACCTAAACAATTAAACATGCCGTCAAATCAGACTGTTTAACTCACTCCATGAGACTCGTATATATTTTTTAAAAACACCCATATTAAAGAGTATTTAAATCTATGAATTTAATGTAAAATTTAAAAACAGATGGTCAAACTGAAGGTAAAAACAGACTTTTTAAGTTGAATTCTGCAGACAGAAAATCATCACTGCAGCAGCTTCACTTGATTTATGCGCTATTTGAGACAGTTAACAACCAATACTTTGGTGAGAAAAGGAGATGAGACACCTTGTATTAGAATTATTTGGGGCTAAAATTCATTAAAAGCAAAAAAAAAAAAAGACACCATCATCACTGCGAAATTTTACTCAACCATGATGTCTTTTTATCCGACAACACAAACGTTCAAGGAGACCAAAGTCCTCTGCCTTAAACTGCAGATATTAAATACGTTCAAAGACATTAAATCACCAAACAAAACTCATCGGTTTCTATATTTAATTATCCTCCAGCTGAGTCGTCGCATTCGGACACACACCGGGGAACGCACACATTCCTCGGAGCCTGAGCAGACGGTGACGGCGGCCGGCAGAGTAAAAGATCATCCACAGGCTGCCGGCCGCCGTCCTGCTGCTGCTGCTGCTGCTGCTGGTGGGCTGGGCGGTGAAAGTGTGTGTGTGTGTGTGTGTTTAGTGGACGGGGGGTTGGTTTTGGTTTGACCGAGAGGAATTCACAAAGTTCACGGTCCTGTTACGGAGAGGATAAAGCCGTCTTTGTCTCTTTGGCAACACAACTCTTTTTAATTCAGGCAGACGGAGAGGAGAACCTGCAGCGCCAAAACTCTGCGTCCACCCACCAAAAACTACCCACAGTGTGAGTCCGACACCGGCAGTGTCGTGTTAAATGTGACGGTGACAGTAATAATGAGCTGTCCTCTAATGAACTCGCAGCTCTTTCATCTTCCCTGGCTCATTTGGACGAGCCGGGGCCACAATAGACTATTGTGAACGTCCAAACTCCCCCGACCCCCTCCTCGTCTCTCAGCGGAGTCGCCAAACTCTGCTCAATCCCCGGCTGTCCAGCTCCTTTCTCCCCGCCTGGACATTCACCCCCCCCCCCCCCCCCCCCCCCCCCCCACACTCCTCCATTCTCACAGCAGTGACGGGGATGTCAAAGGTCGGCTGGCCTCGCTGACCACAACAAGCTGCTAAATGTGGCCCGGCGCTGCAGCCGGAGCCCCGCTGTGTCCCGGGACACCGCCGCTGAGATGGGTATTAGCGCGAAGGGAGGTGGGGTGTTTGTTCCCTGGTGCGATGTAATTGCCACAGCGGCCGATGATGTGTCAGGACTCAGGAGCCGAGCGAGACGTTCAGCTTTGGTCTTTCTTTGAGACCCTGACAGAGACAGAGCAGGACTTTCTGTGTGGTGTCACAGAAGTTTCCTGTTAATGAGATGGACGCAGAGAGAGGGAGAGAGTAGACGGGATGACGAGAGGAGCCCCAGCGTCAGGACAGCAGAGGGAAGGAACAAAACGCCCGGCCGCGGCTGCAGACCTGAGAGCTGGCACTCGTCCTCTAACGGGACGCCGCGGAGACGAGAGAGGGGAGCACACAGGGAGGGGGCGGCGGACACGCTGATGGATAAAAACAACAAACAGTCCGAGCGGGTCACAAATCCAGGAGCTTTTTCTTTTTTCTGGGAAATAAAACACAAAGCCGCTGTTCGGCGTTTCTGAAAGCTCAGCCACAAGAAGGAGGAAGAGAAAGAGGAGGAGGGAATGTTCTTCTTTTTGGTTGAAGAAAAAAGGAGGAAGAAGAAAGAAAGAAAGAAAGGAAAAAAAAAAAACTGTTGTGCCAACTTACCATCCACCAGGTCCTGGCTGAGATGTCGTAGCAGAGCTGCCATTTGATGGAGCCTTCCGAGGTTTTCCCTGCCATTACGCTGTCAGCAAGCTTCATCTGATGCGAGCGCGCTCACCGGAGATAAGACACCTAATTGAGAAAACATTTGCACTGGCATGTTGGGCAACATGTAGCCCGCTCCATACCATATGGAATCATGGGTAAAAAAAAAAAAAAAAAAAGCAAAAAAAAAAAAGCAGCTCCTTGACAATGAACCAATCTCATGCAGACCCCGTGGCAAGGTGAGCGGCAGTCATCTGCTCGGAGAAAAAAAAAAACAACACACACACCCCCTCACTCACACACACACACACACACACACACACACACACACACACACACACACACAGCAGAGCAGAATGATGAGCCTTTTTTCCGCATCACTGTGCGCCTTCGGGTCGCTTCCCCCTTTTTTTCGTCTTCCCTTCTCTGGTATAATTAGGGCTTGTTCATCATTATCACCATCATCATCCTCACCAGGAGAAGAAGAAGAAGAAGAAGAGGACGCATCCCGGGCTAAACTGAAGTGACTCCAAACAACTTCTTCTTTTGAGTTTTTATGGTCACTTTAATAGGACGGAGGCAGGTAGAGAGAGAGAGAGAGAGAGAGGGAGAGAGAGGGAGGCAGAGACACATGGAACTGCTTACAGACTATCATGCTATGTTTTGTTTTGGGTTTCCATGCTTCCTCCCCTCCTCCCTTCTCCCCTGAATCCCTCCATCCTCACCCCTCCATCCCTCCTTCAGCAGAAAACCCGTGTGTTTTGGCATAAATACCTCCAGACTGAAGGGTCCAGCGGAAGCCCCGGCGAGATAGAGAGCGAGAGAGCATGTTCACGCTCCATGAAGAGTGGACGCTGCCCCGCCGCTGCCGCCTGCAAAACACCACGGCGCTCCATCAGCAGGTCTGCTTTCATTTTTACGTTTCTGTCTGAGGAAAAGATGAAAAAGTAGAAATAAAAACTTCTCTACAAGTAAAACTGTACAAGAAAATGTTATGCATGTTTACAAAGAGTCGCATTAAATGGCTTCAGGTAGTGTCATATAAATATGTATTATGAGACATATGCACTGGCTTGTAAACAGAATTTGAATCTTGTAGCTGGGGGAGCTAGTTAAGTTGTTATGTCATATGTCAATACAGTGGAGAAAAAGTACAACCTTTGGAAGCACTTTATAATAAGACATTAGATATGTTAATAAATTAGTTACTAATTCTTAATGGGTCAGTTATAACCCATTAAATCAATATGTTAAAAAAAATTTGTTTTGGTCATTATTGTTTTATAGATGTTGCAACCCCCGGTCAATAAAAATATATCTGACTGATAATGTGAGAATATTAGTGCAGATGTTTTCCAGACGGTAAGCAGTCTAACGGTGCTTTAAATGAGTCGCCCTGATGCTGCATAAACAGCAGCCAGGGGGACTTTTAAATGGCTTGCAACTGATCAATAAAGCATATGTAAATTATTTATAATGCAAGAACTTTTAATCCCGTCTGTCATTTCTTAGAATGTGGTGTTTCCCCCTGAAATATAGTGAAGTAGAATAGAAACGTTAAAGTAAAGTACAAGTAGCTCAAACTGTACTTAAGTACAAGACTTGAGTAAATATAGTTAGTTACAACAAGCAAGCACTGCTATCTGAGAGTCAGAAAAGATTTTATATGTAAAGTTATAAATTATTTTGAAATTTTAGCTTTTTTAGACCTCCTGTTTATTCACCACTGGATAAATTTTTATAAACTCATTTTAAGTCAGTGTGCAGACGTAAATGAAACGTAAATATGTTGTATTGGATTTTTATTTTTATAACGTAAACATATATAATATATGTGAAGTGTCAGGACTACAGTAGATAATGAATATTTATGTTACATTGTCATACAGTGTTTATCCAAAATTTAATGTTATTAAGATAACAATTTTAGCAAAGTTAACCAAGGTTTAAACAATTTCAGAAAGTTTATTGAGTTATTCATAATTTATCATACTGTTACTGTCCAGTAAAAACATGTACCTTCAAAATGCAAACAAAGCGCAGCTTGTTTTCAATTCCAACTGTTTTTTTTTTTGTTTTTTTTATTTGCATATCTCATTAAAATGGAAATGCAGTTGTGCAAGTGTAGATTATTTAAAAACGTCATTCACAATCAGCTGTAATTAGAAATACTAACACTAAGGTTTGGGTATAACTGGAGTTTTTCCACGTTGTATGGGTGATATATGTTTTTTTGTTTTATTTTCCAGGACAGATAAAAGCAGCGGGGCTCGTCGGAAGCAGCAGCATCGTCCCATTCTGTCAACAAACATGTGCTTTAACCTGTCTGATAATTTCACTGTCTGAAGTTGGGGGGGCTTAGAGAAAGGTGAGGGAGGTGTGGGGGGTCTGTGAAGCTCAGGTTCCTAATCAGAGGGGGAATACCTGAACCAGAGTAGAGCCGCCATCAAACAGTTCTCCCATTGTGGCGGCCAAACAGAGGAATGCGATTCAGCCGGAGATACGGAGGGACGTTCGGGTTGTTGGTTGTTGGGGTATGGTACACTAGGCCAGGAGTTGAGGATGTGAGGGGGGGGGTGAATGTGCCAAGTAAGGCTCTCTACACGTGATCAACTGAAGAGCCACGCTGACCCACTTGAATCTAACTTAGCTGAACATGTTTCACCTCAGGAGGCTTCAGTGAGGAAATTAAGATGCTGTCCTGAATGTTTTTTAATACTTCAAATTATCTGATCAAACCTGTTCTGACTCCCAAGTCGCCACATATAGACGCACGGTGGGCCAGAAACCGGACTTTCAGTCAGGAGGCTTGTGTCCGTTCCCCGTGTGGAACAAAAAGTCAATATTGAATGTTTTTATTTAAATTACAAGCAATTGTAAGCAATGTAACTTGGCTTACATAAGTGAACATAAACGTTATTTTAAGCCAAATTATGATATTTTCCTAACTCTAACCAAGTTGCTTTGGTGCCTAAACCCAACCAAGTAAGTAGTTTTGGTTCCCTAAACCCAACCAAGTAAGTAGTTTTGGTTCCCTAAACCCAACCAAGTCAGTAGTTTTGGTTCCCTAAACCCAACCAAGTAAGTAGTTTTGGTTCCCTAAACCCAACCAAGTCAGTAGTTTTGGTTCCCTAAACCCAACCAAGTAAGTAGTTTTGGTGCATAAATCCAACAAAGTAAGTAGTTTTGGTGCCTAAACCTAACCAAGTAAGTACTTTTGGTACCTAAAACTAACCAAATTTAGACTTAATGTACTGTTTGAAAACATTACCTACTAGTTTTATTCAGAAAGTTTAATTGGACGTGGCATTTTTATTTTTGCTAACTTGACCGAACGTTTAATACTTTTTGTCGCTAAAGGGTACCCAGGGCGTTTAAAGGTGATGCCAAGGGGTCTTGACCAAGCGTCCATATATGGATGAGTTGGGAGTGAGAATGTGTTGACCAAGAAGCTTAAACATTAGTGTCTCAGTTAAAGTAAATAAATATGTTGGCTAATCAGCTAAGCTAACTGATTGCTGCACTAACCAAGTGCATAGACCGCCGGAGAATATTTGCAGAGGAAAAGTGAGAGAAATTATGCATTTTAACTGATGTAAGATCCATTAGGACAACATAGGTTTGTTGATTATAACACTGCATTGATTTTTTCCAGCTCAGGGCACAGTTTGAGTTCTTAGTGACAATGATCACATGATTTGGAATAACCTAATTGGTTTCAATCTTCCGTAATTTGGCATTGGCTAAAATAATATCCAGAATGATGAGTTTAATCTCAGATCAATTCTCAATAAATAAACTACTGGGAGGAAGTCTCATCCAGCAAGAAACAAAGTGGTACAGTTAGCTAGCTTGAACAGCACAGTTAAAGCTGAAAAATAGCACTAGGTAACTTGAATTTAACACTTTAAGCTGCTAAAATAAGCAGTTAGCTAATTTAAACAATTATCTGCCAAGCAACGATGTTAAACAGTTCAAAATTCTAAAATTAGGAAAAAAAACATAACTACATTGTTTAAAACAGACTGTTTATGACTTGTTAAGCTAACCTAATCTTACCAATTGTTTTCTAACTGAATTTAATTTTAACTGTTATCTTGAAGTTAATTGTTTTAACAGATGGAATAATCTGTAGTAGTAATCATCTTAAATAAATACTAGTTAACGGATTTTCTTTTCTTAGTAAAGTGAAACATTAGCTAACCTAAACTTATCAGCTTAATTACTAGTCAGCTAAATTGTGAAATATTAGCTAACTGAATTTGACAGTTTTAGCTGCTAACTTAAACTTCATTGTTTAAACTGATAAAAAAAATATGCCGTTAGCTAACAGCTAATTACATTGTTTAAGATGACAAATGATTTATTTTCTAACTGAACAGTTTTAGCTGCCCAAACAAATCATTAGCTAACCTGGAGTTTATCAGCTTAAATAAATTATTAGTCAGCTAAATTGTGAAATATTAGCTAACTGAATTTAACAGTTTTAGCTGCTAACTTAAACTTCATTGTTTAAACTGATAAAAAAAAAATGCCGTTAGCTAACAGCTAATTACATTGTTTAAGATAATTAATTTCTAACTGAACAGTTTTAGCTGCCCAAACATATCATTAGCTAACCTGAATTTAACAGTTTTAGCTGCTAACTTAAACTTCATTGTTTAAACTGATAAAAAAAATATACCGTTAGCTAACAGCTAATTACACTGTTTAAGATGACAAATAATTTATTTTCTAATTTAACAGTTTTAGCTGCTTAAACAAACCATAAGCTAACCTGAACCTTAAGTTTCTCATATAATGCTACTTCGCTAAATTGACATTTTTTGCTGGCAAAATAAAAATATTAGCTAACTAAACATAACAGTCACCAAAACAAACGATTAGCTAACATGCACTCGAGTTTGAGTGTTAACTTTTATAATAAATGGTTAGCTAGCCTGTCAGAAAGGAGCCTCTGAACCATCAACTTATTGTACACTTACACAGCAGATGCAGAGCAAAGGTATCTTCCCATTGGGGTGTCTGTGTCCACCTGATGTTTATAAGTCCAGTATCACTTCTTTTTAGCTTCTTTTAGTCTGCATCAACTCCTGAGAAAAATCTCTTTAGCTGCTAATTGATTCTACTTTA